GCTCTGCCCTCAGCAGGGAGTCTACTTGAGATTCCCTCTCCCTCTCCCTTTGCCCCTCCCTCCCTCACTCACGCATGTTTTCTCTCTCTCTCTCTAAAAAATAAAAAATAAAAATAAAGAAATAAAATTATTCCTCCGTGACTGTGGACCTTATTTATTTTTAGTACGGTTTATTTATGCTCTTTTCTCCTTTTGGTTAAATCTTGCTGGGCTTTATGTCGTTGAGACCGCCAACACTGCTGTCCGTTTTATTCTCTATTTCATTCATTGCTACTTGTATCCTCATTTTTCCCTTCTCTTGCTTTTTAAACGTTAAATTTGTCTTTTGTCTAGCTTTTAGAATGTAATGCTTAATATATTTTAAATCCTAATTCATCTGTATGTTTGAAATACTTCATAATTTGGAAAAAAAAAGGTAATGCTTCCAAGCTACATTATGAATTTGGAGGTGATCTGAAACCCAAGTGCACCCTGTAAGCAACTTTTTATACAATTACAGGATGCACAAAGAGAGACTAAACCCACCAACCATAATTAGCTATGATTTCAGCTCCTCCTCCTCCTCCGTTTCCGCAGGCAACAGAAAAGCAGATAAAACACGATATCCAGAACACAAATTAAAGCTCCAAGCAGAAAACAAATAATTCTCACATAAGGAGAGAAGCAGTCAAGGATAATTCATTCAAATTACACGGAAGTATAGCTGAACCTGCCCTCCTTAAATATACCTGACAGAGGGAGAAACAGCAAAGAGGTATAACACCACAGAAAAGAAGGGACAGCAAAGGGAAGGAAATGTGCAAAAGACAAATGAAGAAGCCAATCTGGAAGAAAATACACTCCCAGCAGTGGATTACAAGTTCTCAAATAGGTCCCGGTGATACTCAGTGAACACAAAGGAAATATCCCTGGATGGGTTGATATTTCTCCATCCCTGACTCCATCTCTAGATGGAACATGTTTAGCCTTGAAGCTGATTTGGAATATTTCATTAGAAACTGGAGGTTTCTATGATTAGTACTGCAAACAATGATTTTAAAAGCTGTCGGCGTAATACCATGCACTTTAAGCTTTAAAAATGTTGACCACAGTCTAAGCTACCAAAAAGGGAAGAAAAAAAAAAGCTTTTACAATAAATGATCTGCTGCTGTAAGACATTAAGAACATGAAATCAGGAAACAAACTGAGGGTTGCTGGAGTGGTGAGGGGTGGGAAGGAGGGGGTGGCTGGGTGATAGACATTGGGGAGGGTATGTGCTATGGTGAGCACTGTGAATTGTGCAAGACTGTTGAATCACAGATCTGTACTTCTGAAACAAATAATGCAATATATGTTAAGAAAAAAAAGAAGAAGAAGAAGATAGCAGGAAAGGAAGAATGAAGGGGGGAAAATCGGAGGGGGAGACGAACCATGAGAGACCATGGACTCTGAGAAACAAACTGAGGGTTCTAGAGGGGAGGGGGTTGGGGGGATGGGTTAGCCCTGTATTGAGTATTAAGGAGGGCAGTAGTTCAAGGTCTGCCAGGTTCATTCGAGTCAGCATCCCAGTCATCTGGGGAGAGAAGCTGACAAGGACCAAGCACCATTTCATGGCCACTGGAACCAGGATTCAGGATCAGGATCTAGTCCTGGCAGAAAACCAGGTAGAAATTTGATCCAAAGCCTGGTCAAATGGACAAGCATCCTGGGGAAGCAAAGGGTTTCCCTGGGACACCAGAGCCTGGCTCAGAGCCAAGGCCAACTCCGTGCTCAGGAGGGCAGCGGCCAAGCCCCTGAAACCCCTCCAGGATTGGTCGGAACTGGCCTGAGTCTGCAGCCGCTGCAGTCAGCCTGGCAGGCCTGAGGAAGGAGGGTGTCCTCTGATGAAACAATGAAGATCAGCACCTGTTTGAGGAATCTTGGTCAGGCCTGCAGACTCTCATAAAATCAGACATCAATGGTGGTCCTTCTCTCTTTAAAGTACCCACTTAGAAATCCTACAAGAGAAATGGTGCCCGTGTTCTGGAACCACCTTTGTGAAGACAACACTGTCCCTGTCACTGTTTTGAGATGAGTGAAGTATCTTTATGCTCTGAATTGCATGTGCAGGAGCTTAATGCCAATGGACCACAAAAGTTTACTTATTTTTTAATTTACCTGACAAAGGAACTATAAAAGATGAATTGACTTGAAAAAGGAAAAATGAAAGAAAACAGGTCTTGATATATATGCAGCCATTCCGTAGAAGAAAAGATACCTATTTTTTTTATCCATGCAGCACATTACATCCCTAGAACTTATTTATTTTATAACTGGAAGTTTGTACTTTTTGATGCCCGGTACCCATTTTCCCAACCTGCCCTCACCCTGACTCTGGCAACCACCAATACATTCTCTCCCTCTATGAGTTCAGTTTGAGGGTAGTTTTTTTTTTTTTTTTTGGTTCCACATGTAAGTGAGAGCATGTGTCTTTCTCCGTCTGATTTATTCCACTAAAAGGAAGATATTAACTGCTCTCTTTGAAACAATTTGCATATTATATGCACCTGTTAAAGAAGAAACACCATAAAAGATGTGCACATACAAGACTATATAACTAAAATATTTTATTACGTGTGAGGATGGGCAGAATCAGTACACATTTACCCACAAATGTGACTCTAGGAATTTCCATCTATAAAACACTCTGCAGCCATCCCCACCCCCAGCACTCCAGGAAATATGACACCTCCCCAGATGCCTATCTTCATTAAATTCTCCTCCTGCATCTCATGAAGTAAGGGCAGAAACAGCAAATGAGGGAGATGCAGATGCGGAGGTGGCAGGTGATGTTAATACTTACAACAGGCAAATACATAACAGGGACTTCTGTAAGTTTGTCATGCTAACATAAAGGAAAGGTGAAAAATAACTTCACAACATCCAATTACCGCAGATTCAGAAAGGGGTTTCTATTGGAAGATGTATTAATCCCCAGTCAGACACCTAAACAGAAAAAAAAAAAAAGCGAAACAAATAGGATAAAAAAAGTCAGGTGCAATATTTACCCTGCACGATACACACACATGCACATGCATGCACATGACTGACACAGATATTATGAGAAACACTGATTATAAAATCTGAAGGCACCTCACTGTACTTAGGAATGACCTAAAGGGACATCCTTCTAGTCCTCTCCACAAAGCCAAAACCCCTATTGTGGCTCCATCAGGGAGAGACACCCTTTGCAACCTGTCCCCTGTCAGCCCTCTGCAACCCCCACTGCAGGGAGCCGCCCGTGCAGACTGCTAGGAGCTGGGGTTTGTTTCTCAGATGGGGTTATTCATTTTAACTGTAAGGTGCTTCTATACCAAGTTAATTCTCCCATCCTACATTTGCACCGTGCCCGCCTCCTATACCACTTCCTCAAGTGTGTGGTTTGAGTAGAGATGATACTCTGTAAATGAATATACTGTTATCAATAGCAAAGATAATAATAATGACCCAATTAAAAACTGGACAAAGGACCTGAATAGACATTTTTCCAAAAACATCCACATGGCCAAGAAGTACCTGAAAAGATGCTCAACATCACTGATCATCAGAGAAATGCAAGTCAAAACCACAATAACCTCACCTGTTAGGCTATTATCAAAAAGACAAGAGATAATAAGTGTTGCCCGGACCTGGTGCACTGTAGGTGGGAATGCACACAGCTAGGATGGAAAAGTAGGGAGAAAAGCAAGGCTAGAACGTCAGATCCAGCAATCTCACTTCTTAGTATATAACCCAAAGGAAACAAAAACATGATCTCAGAGACATCTCTACTCCCATGGTCACGGTAGCAATTTCACAATATCCAAGATACAGAAACAACCTGTCTGTGGTCAGAAAAACCCCTAGGGAGAACAACTGAATGGTTGTTTGAAGACCTTAAGAAAGAAGGAAATCCTGCCAATTGCAACAACGTGAATGAACTTGGAGGGCATCATGCTAAGTGGGGGTGGGGGGGGGGAGAAAGCCAGGCAAAGACAATACTGCACGATATCACTTACATGCAAAATTAAAAAATAAATAAATAAATAACTAAAACTGGAACTCGTGAGAATAGAAAAGTGGTTGTCAGGAGCTAGGGCGTGGGGGAAACAGGGAGAGGTCCTGAGGATGCATGCATAATACCACGAATATGTTACGTAGTTTAAATGTGCTGAGAGTCGAACTTAAATTTTCTCACGAAAAAAAAAAAGGTAAATTTTTTAGAAAATAAATGCACTTTTAGACCAAGTTTGATGAAATCTGGTCTGTAACCATCTTCTTCCCCTTAATTTAAAAAGAAAAAAGAAACAGGACAAGCCCACAGTACCCGCGGTCCTCCCAAGCTCAGGGCAGTGAAAAGCGCCCCCGCGCCGGGAACCACGCGCCCCGGCCCCGCGCCCCCACCAACCCGGCGCCCTGAACTCCCAGCCCCCGCTGCCCCGCAGGGCCCACGCCCCTGGCGCCTCCTGCGCCCGCTCCTCCCGCAGCCCTCCGGGCCCTCACCCGGACCCCCGCGTCCCGCGCGCCCGGACCTCCCTGACCCCCGCGCGCCCCTGTGCCCGCACCTCTCGGAACCCCGTGTGTCCCTCCCCCGTTCCCCCCCCCCCCCGACCCCCGCGTGCTCCCGGAACCCCCCCAGCGCTCCGCTCCTCCTGCACCCCCTCACTTCTCGTGGCCCCTGCGCCCGCGCCCCCGCGCCGCGCCCTCCGCACCCCCGCGCCCCCCACCCCGCGCCCGCACCTCCGCGCCTCACCGTGCGCCTCGCACTCCCCTGCGGCCCGGTAGGGCTGCAGCCGCAGTGCGGCCGACAGAGCCAGGGGCGCGCGGCCAGTCTTCGCAGGCGCTGGGTCCAGGCCGAGGGCGGCTGTCCCCTCCGCACGGCATTTAGGAGGTGGGAGGAGCCGCGCGGCGATGCGCACGGGAAATCTGATAGGTGAGGCGGCGGGAACGCGGGGCGCTGCGGCGGGGGTGGAGCCGGGGTGGGGGGCGCCCCAGATCCCCCCTCAGCCAGCAGCCCTGCGCCGGTCGCGGGGGAGTGGCAGGACCACCCAGGAGAGCGCCAGGCGTGGCGACAGGAGCTGTCTGCGGTGTGCCGCCTCCGTAGCCCCGAGGGGAAGAGCATCCTTCGAGGAGCACCAGACATTCCCCATGGTGGAATTTGTTTCTATCCCCTTGGGCCGATTCTTTGAGTTTACCCTCCTCCGGGCCTCCCAGGGGACGGTCCCAAAGTTAACTTCGAGAACACTCTGTACAAGGAAGGCAGTACGGCCCTGTGCTTCTCAAACCCCAGATGCCTCCAGAAAGAATACCCTCCCCCCTTTCAGGAAAGAGAGGCTGTTCTCCTTGCCGATGGTTTGATTAGCAGCCGTGAGTCAAGGTCAGCTAAAGGAATGGGGAGTTTGGGGGACTGTTTAATCCTTAGGATCTCCAATTGAAGTAGTTTCTATTCCCATTCCCATTTCACGGATGAGGCAGCTGAGGGCCCAGAGAAGGCAAGGACTTGAGAAAGGTGAGCAGATGAGTAGAGAGATCGATGTGGTGGTGCCACTGGGAGCCCTGCTTTCCGTGGCAGGAAAAATACACATGTATTTATGTACGAAAATATACATGTATTTTTTTTAAGAGTTGGAGTCATATCATTGATCATCTAATTCAGTGGTTGTCAGCCCCAGCTGCACAGTGACCTCACCTGAAATTCCCAGGGCCCCAGGGACCTGTCCAGACCAAAGTAATCCGATTTCTTTTCCTTAATCTCAGATCTGCAATAGTTTCAGGGCAATGCCAGGCCTTATCACCACCACCACCACCCTGCCCGGTTAGCCTGATCCTTCTTGCACACACAAAGATGAAGTAAGCTGATGTTGGGGAGAGGGGGGAAGGAGACCCCAAAATATTTAGTGAGATGGAGGGCCAAAGCCTAAAAGGTGCAGCATCCTTTCAGACTTTCTGAGAAAAGAAGAGACCCCCCAGGAGGGAGCCAGGAGCCAACTGAGCTGTGGGTTGGAGGGAGGCCCCCCCCCCCTCCCCCGTGAAGAGGCTGATGAGTAAGAACATAGTAGCACAACCATTAGCCTGGCTGATTAAACTCCCCCATGTTCTGCGCCGCTCCCGGCTTTTATACAGCAGTTTCCTGGGGTAACCAAATGGGCCTGGTGCACTCAAAGCTGAGCGCTATTAGCCAGCACAACCTGGCAAGATGCGGCCTGGCGAGCCCTTGGGGCAGCAGGTACCAGCCCAGAGGGTGAATGAGGCAAAGCCTGTGCTCACACACACCCCTGCCCTTTCCCTGAGTCCCCTCCCCATCACTTCCACCTTCCCTGCCGACTCCAATGTGGCAGCTGTCAGTAGGAGCCACACCTCTGCGAGCCACAGACCCCAGCAGACTCATCAGGCTGGCTTCTGGCATCCTGAGGGATGGTGACACGGGGCAGGTGTTTTGCAATCAAGATGAAGGGAGCAAGGAAGATGCAGGATCCAGAAAAAGGGGCCAGGGGAGGGTGGGGACACCACTCCAGTGGAGACCAGAATGGTGAAAAGAGCAGAACACCTTCCAGACAGAGGGAGGGCCCTGAGACAGGAATTCACCTGCCCATGGCTCGGTATTACCATGTGGAAATGGGCTAATAGAACAGGGCAGACCAGGTAGGTCAGTGCACACAAATCGCATAGCCTTGGACGCACCTGTCCGGAAAATAAAGCACCATCTCATGGGCTAGGGCTCATAGTTAAGGCTCCGACCCTAGCCTTTGCTAAACTACTAGACCTTAGCAAAGACCTTGCTCTGTCCCTTTCACCACGGGGTGGGCCTCACCTGTGAGCCATGCAGACTGCTGCACAGGGGGAATGATTTTGCTCTTCTGCACCCCCACCCCACATGTTCTCCAGAGTGGAACATCTGTGACTGCCAGTCCAACGTCCAGACTCCCAGGTTGCTGTGACCCAAAACAGGGACGCACACCCTCAGCATAGACATTTGGGGTCAGCCAATTCTTTGTTGTGGGGACCGTTCTGTGTGTTGTGGGCTGCTTAGCAGGATCCCTGGCCTCTACCCACTAGATGCTAGGAGCACACACACGCGTGTGCAGGAACGCATACACACAGAGGTGTCTTCAGATGTCCTGAAGGGAGCAAAATTGCCACTAATTGAGAAAGGCTGCTCTCACAGGAAGGAATGGGACCCAGTGCTCCACAAATAACTCCAAAACACTATTTCTTATGGATGCCGCATGCAGAAGGGCCAATTGGCAGACTGGAACATTACGCTACATAACGGGGCCCCTGGCCAAAGTCCACTTCCTCCGGTCACTCCGGCCTTCTCATGGTCCTTGAACAGGCTGAGCTCATCCCCGCCGCAGGATCTGCGCGTCTCCGCCTCCCTCTGTCTGGAATGCTCCTCCCCAGATATTCATGGGACTCTCCCTGGCTTCCTTCAGCTCTCTGCTCTGATGCCAGGTCCCAGGCAGGCCTTACCTGAGCATCCAGGCACACACCCTCCCACCCTCATCACTCCACATCCCGTTACCCTACCTGGTCCTGCTTGGCTGCCCGACGTTGCAGAGTCTGTCTCCCCTCCCAGAATGGGACTTCGAGGCAGACCACTGCCTCCCCAGCAGAGGGCCAAGCACAGAGAGGATGCCTGAACAGTACTTGTTGAATAAGTAAATGGGGGATGGACAGAAAAGCTTGCAGTGGCTAGAGAGAATGGGGAAGGCAGAGAGGTCTTACGCCCTTGGGTTGGGTCTCGGGAGTTGTGAGAGGCAGAGAATGAGAAAGATCCTTCCCCTCCTTGTGTAGGCCAGTGATGATAAGTGTGTGTGAGGGGGTGGGGGGGTGTTGGCCCACTTCTCACCCATCTCAGAGAGGTTAGAGCCGTTGTCAGCGGGAAATCCTGCATTTCTGACCTGGGTGGAACCAGCATCTCGGCTGAGACAGTCCCAAGGGCCCTCATACAAATTAACAGACCGATCAGAGGTTCTCTGAGGCCTGGCAAATGGTGTTCCCAGGGAAGCCACTGTACTAATTAGAATTATGTTTTTCAGGTCCAAAGCAGCTAAATGAAACGTTAAACAAAGCTCTCACAGAGCAAGGGGAAGGGCTGTCAGAACTGAGATCCAGGGCTCGGGAGGAAATGATGGCTGCTTGGTGTCTGGGGTCCTTGCTGGCTGTGTAGCTGCCCAGCAGGGGACACCCAACTGGCATAGCCCACAAAAGCCAGCCCCACCTGGGCCGGCCGCACCCACCACAAAGAGGCTCTTTCTCCCCCACTGGGTGGGGCTGCAGAATGTCATGGTAATCCCCACCCCTCGAAGGGGGCCTCAGGGTTACTGGCCCACGTGGTTATAACACGACAAGGCTGTGCCCGTCACACCTCCAGGCTGGGGCACAGATGGCCCCGCGTTCACATCTTCCCAGCCAGTGAAGGGATCCACGTTCAGAGTGGGGCTAGAAAGGGCAGTCTACACCGGTAAAAAAGTATCAGATTAAGGAGGAAGGCTGAGTTCGGATGACTTTGGCCACGTCTGAAAAAACAGCCCTCCAGCCATCAGGCAATAGCCGAAGTGTAGTGGACAGGATACAAACTTGCTACAGGACGCTTTCTGTTTCTTATTTTGTTATAGATATTTTATCTTATTTGGGGATTATTCCAGAATAATGCAATTTTTTGACACATGAAAAACCCAAGGATTCTTAGAGAATAACCACCGACTTTCAGCTGTCGGTGGCTATTGATACTCATTTCTCGGCACAATGCGCCATTATTCCCTCGGGTCTGTGCTCCCCGATGTCTCCAGTGAGCGCTGGATCCCGTACACAGAACCAGATTCTGGAGTCTAACAACAGATATTCACCTTGTATCTTAAGGACAGAAGTTCCAAGCCAGGGAGATGATGGAGACGTAGGGACACCAAGAGCCTGGTCACCCGCTTGTACCAACCTTGCCTCGGTAAGTTGGCGCCACCATTGGTGGTCGTGACGACAGAGCTACGGTGAGGGTTACATAAGATAGAGCAGTCACAGGCTGGGCACACCCCTGCAGCACCCCGTGCTCCCGTTTTTAGAATACTTAATTCTGAGGCATTTTTTGTTTGTTCATTTGTTGGTTTTAATTCCACGTTTTGTCGCCGGAGCACAAAGCCACACCCTTACCTCAGCCTTGCCTTCCGAGCCTCTGTCAGCCTCTCAGGATGCCCGGTCTTTAGAGCTACACATCACCCTTGGCCGAGAAGCTGTGTGTGTGGTGCTGATTTTTTGACAGACTGAAAATCAGCTTCATGCTCAAAGTTTTTTCTACAATTGAGATTTTCATGGACCCTGCGCTCACTCAGGAAACGGCTCCTGGACAAAGCCCTTCGAAGAGAAGGTTGAGTCCTCGGGACCAGTTTTGCAAAACAGAACATTCATTTCAAACGTATACATTCTGGAGCGTTAGCTTAAGACACTGATCATCTTTTGAGGAGGGCACACACACACACACACACACACAAAGTTATTCTCTTTCTCCTTCAAGGACAGCCAGGGTCCGAAGAAGACCAGCTTTTCAATAAGTGACCATGTTAGGAGTTGGATCTGGACAGGAATGTTAACAGAAGTTTAACGCAATGTGGTGGGAGTACAGAGGAAGAGCCAGTTGATTCTAACCAGGGGTTGGACTTGGTCTGTTGTGTTCTATCCTTTTTTTAGCATTAGAAGCTCCGTCTTCAAATACAATGTGTGTAGGCCTCCAATGTCCAGAAGCGAGCTAGGTCAGAGCTGTTCTTTTGGGGGACAGGGGCGGCCTCCAGCCCCTTCAACACTCCCCCTTCCTTCCATTGCCCCAGGGATACCTTGCTATGCCCAGGACTGTGCCCCATGGTTAATGGAACCACAGTAGCAAACAGAGGAAGCCAAGGGAGACCAAGTACTGGGAGCTTCTGATGATTTACTCCTGGGCCCTTCTGCTTCTCCTCAGCCTCCTACCTTTTAGGTAACTCCTTCCCTTTTGCCCACCTGTGGCTGTGCCGGGGTGGGGCAAGGAAATGGACCTTGAATCTCAGTGTTCTTCTTGCCGGCCTTCTTCCATAGGGTGGAATCACACTTTCCCCGGACACTCCAGCTTCCAAAGCACTTTTTATGCAAGCAGTGTCGTTCAAGCTTCTAATAACCCCACCGGGCAAGACCAACGGGGACTGGCAGCATGGGCTTCCAAGCCACCTACCAGCCCTGACCCCTCCGTGTCCCACATCCACGATGGGGATGTCAGGAAGGTGCTCGGAACTGTGTCTTGCACGCAGTGAGCCCTCCCAACATGCCAGCCGTGAGGGTTGGGTAAATGACCCAGAAGCACGTCTCTAAAAAGTGGTGGTGGGGGGGAACAAAGTTCCAGGACCCCGGCCTCGGATTACCCCCTTGGACACCCTCCCCAGTCCTGCCATCTCAGGGTCCTTTGTGTGGTTGTTCAAGTGGCCACAGAAGCACATTTGATCTCCAGAATAAAGTAAGAAGCGCTAGCCATGCTGAGTGAATGAACGAATAATGCTGTGGTGGGGAGACTCTATTTTCCAGAATTTCTCATTATTGGTTTTACTGCGTAAAGCCTGGGAGAAAGAATTGATCATAGCCCACATAGGGAAACTCACTTAGCCCCATCTTTTGTCGAAGGAGAATTACTGTTGGTTATTATTAAAGCTCTATGCCAATCATTATTCTAAATGCTTTACACGCATTAACTCGTTTATTTCTCACTACAGCATTGTGAGGCAGGTGCTATTAGATCCCCACTTTACAGATGAGAATACTGAACCACACAGAGGTCAAATAATTGGCCCACATAATACAATCTCTTACCAACTAGAAATAACCTAAAGTTATAATGTATGTCCATTAGTTCATTAGCTCACCCAGTTCCTCCCCCCTGATTTTTATCACAAATGTTATGGATTTAAAGTTCGGGGGAAGAATCAAGGAGGCAGTGCTTCTCACTCGTCTGAGTGAATGGGTCGCTGGCAAAGGTTAGTACAGATTTGTTTCAAAGGAGGAAACCCATTAATCCAACATTAGCCCCTGGGCAGGAAGTTGGTTGAGATACCTTTTAAAAAGAGAGAAGGAACCAATTATCCTATTTTTGCCTGAGGCAAAACATCCAGGAATAGGGTAGAGAGCAATAAAAAAATAAAAATAAGTGGAGACAAAGTAAAAAAGGAAAGGAGAACTCAATACAAAAGAGAGTAAGATCCTCTCTTGAGGCCCCAGACTAGCCCGGTCATCCATCACCCGTGGTAGTTGGTTCTTCCTTTCTTATGGACTCAGGAACATGACTTCTTTTTTGTTTTTATGTTATGTTATGTTAATCACCATACATTACATCATTAGTTTTTGATGTAAACTTCAAGAACGCATTGTTTGCGTATAACACCCAGTGCTCCATGCAATACGGGCCCTCTTTAATACCCATCACCAGGCTAACCCATCCCCCCACCCACCTCCCCTCTAGAACCCTCAGGAACATGACTTTTAAGGTTCTTATGGTTTATGCCAGAGCAACATTTACAAAAATCTGTCCCGGGACATTTAAAAAACAAAAAATAGGGTCCAGGGTCTCAGGTACTAACAACTAACTTTCGGAGACCCTGTCTATACAGTTCTTCTCCCCAGTTTTATTGAGATGTAACCATCACATAACACTGACTAGGTGTAACGTGTGCAACATAATGACCTGATATACCTATATATTATGAAATGCTTACCACAATACATTTAGTTAATATTCATCACCTCACATAATTACAGTTTTATTTGCGTATGATGAGAACTTTTAAGATCTACTCTTTTAGCGACTTTCAATATACAAAACACTATTGGTAATTATGGTCATCATGTGTACATTAATATGCAGTTTTTTTAGCCAGGACTTCTCAGAGCCTTTATTATGGATTGTGAATTTTCAAAAGGGACATAAGGAATGCAGCCTTTTCCAAACTTACCAAACACTGCAACCCATTTTCCAAAGAGCCTGTTGTAGGGTTAATGCTCCAACTTTGGTCCCCACTTTGGGTAATAACATTCTAAAGCAAAATAAATCTTCTGCTCATTTCTTGACTGGATTATTTGCTTTTTGGGTGTTGAGTTTGATAGGTTCGTTATAGATCTTGGATACCAGCCCTTTATCTGATATGTCATTTGCAAATATCTTCTTCATTCTGTAGGTCGCCTTTTAGTTTTGTTTACTGTTTTCTTTGCTGTGCAGAAGCTTTTTATCTTGAAGTCCCAATAGTTCATTTTTGCCCTTGCTTCCCTTGCCTTTGGAGACATGTCTAGCAAGAAGTTGCTGTGGCCGAGGTCACAGAGGTTGCTGCCTGTGTTCTCCTCTAGGATTTTGACGGATTCCTGTCTCACATTTAGGGCTTCCATCCATTTAGAGTCTATTTTTGCGCATGGTATAAGGAAATGGTCCAGTTTCATTCTTCTGCATGTGGCTGTCCAATTTTCCCAACACCATTTGTTGAAGAGACTGTCTTTTGTCCATTGGACATTCTTTCCTGCTTTGTCGAAGATTAGTTGACCATAGAGTTGAGGGTCCATTTCTGGGTTCTTTATTCTGTTCCATTGATCTATGTGTCTGCTTTTGTGTCAGTACCATACTGTCTTGATGATGACAGCTTTGTAATAGAGCTTGAAGTCCGGAATTATGATGCCACCAGCATTGGTTTTCCTTTTCAACATTCCTCTGGCTTATTCAGGGTCTTTTCTGGTTCCATACAAATTTTAGGATTATTTGTTCCAGCTCTATGAAAAATGTCGATGGTAGTTTGATAGGGATTGCATTGAATGTGTAGATTGCTCTGGGGAGCACAGGCATTTTAACAATATTTATTCTTCCAATGCATGAGCATGGAACGTTTTTCCATTTCTTTGTGTCTTCCTCAATTTCTTTCATAATGTTCTGTAGTTTTTAAAGTACAGATCCTTTAGGGTTGCTGAAAGGCAGGTGGGTGGGGGGACGGGGTAACTGGGTGATGGGCATTTAGGGGGGCACGTGATGTGATAAGCACTGGGTGTTATACGCAACTGATGAATTATTGAAAACTACTTCTGAAACTAATGATGTACTATATGTTGGCTAATTGAATTTAAATTATAAATAAATAAAGCAAAATAAATCAGTAGAAAATAAATAATGATGTGATACATCTGTTATTTCTGCTCTGATCTCATAATGTGACATTGAAGTTCAAGAACACAGAGAGGAAGCTTGTTGGTGAGGTGGGAACTTGAGTCTTTGACATTTGTGGAGCTGGGCCACGCTCTCCTCAAAGCCCACAAGGCAGAGAATAACTACTACATTTGGAAAGAAAACAGTGCTTTAAAAGCCAAGTGTTTATGTGATTTGTTTTCAGGGACTGGACCCCTCTGTCCTCAGAACCAGGGGCACATGCTTTTCTTAGCACTCCCTGACCTTTCATGCCCCAGGTGCAGCCAGGAAGGATGGAGTTCTCAGATGCCTTGTCCAAGAAAAAGTGAGTGACAAAGCAGGAAGCTCCAAATCTACCCATTTGGATGAGACCTAGCCCCTCATCAACGAACTGGCTCCCATTTATAGAATGCCCAGAATGAAAATGCCAACATAAGCCAAAATTCCTACCATGAACAGAGATGTGTGGGCAGGGTTCCTCCCGGCCATGCTGCCCCTCCATCTGGGTGCATCTCCTGGGAGCCCGGGCGTGCTGGGGTGGCTTGGACTGTGGCTCTGCCTCTCCCTAAAGTTCCCCCGTCTCTTTGTTCTCCAACAACTGCCAAGGCCCAGGAGGCTGGGAAGCAGAGGCGGCGAGGGGTGGGAAGCAAAGAAAGCAGACAGATGCATTTGAGATCCCTCCATCCGTGAGGGAAGGCACCCATCCGGCAGGCCATCATCACTGAGCTCATAAGCTTCCCCACCAGCCATGGTCACTCCCATGACCATCTCTCTGGGTCTACACTGTTAACCCTCCAGCCTGACACCCAGGTCA